AGAGTGCGATTTGGGGAGCTGGAAGATGAGAACTGGCGACTTGCTACTACAGCTTTAGTACGCGGAGCAATCTGTGGAGCTGGAAGCTGAGAACTGGCGACTGGCCAGTAAACCGTTAGTACGCGGAGCAATCTGTGGAGCTGGAAGATGAGAACTGGCGACTTGGTAGTACAACTTTAGTACGCGGAGCAATCTGTGGAGCTGGAAGCTGAGAACTGGCGACTTTGTAGTAGAACTTTAGTACGCAGAGTATCTGGGGAGCTGGACGATGAGAACTGGCGACTTTGTAGTGCAGCTTCAGCACGCGGAGTATCTGGCGAGTTGGAAGATGAGAACTGGCGACTTTGTAGTACAACTGTAGTACGCGGAGTAGCTGGAGAGCTGGACGCTGAGAACTGGCGACTTTGTAGTACAACTTTACTACGCGGAGCAATCTGTGGAGCTGGAAGCTGAGCACTGGCGACTTTGTAGTACAACTTTAGTGCGCGGAGCAATCTGTGGAGCGGGAAGCTGAGAACTGGCGACCTTGTAGTGCAACTTGAGTGCGCAGAGTATCGGGGGAGCTGCAAGATGAGGAAGATGAGAACTGGCGACTTTGTAGTACAACTTTAGTAGCGGGAGTATCTGGGGAGCTGGAAGATGAGAACTGGCGACTTGGTAGTACAACTTTAGTTCGCGGAGTATCTGGGGAGCTGGAAGATGAGAACTGGCGACTTGGTAGTACAACTTTAGTACGCGGAGCAATCTGTGGAGCTGGAAGCTGAGAACTGGCGACTTTGTAGTAGAACTTTAGTACGCAGAGTATCTGGGGAGCTGGACGATGAGAACTGGCGACTTTGTAGTGCAGCTTCAGCACGCGGAGTATCTGGGGAGCTGGAAGAGGAGTACTGGCGACTTTGTAGTACAATTGTAGTACGCGGAGTAGCTGGGGAGCTGAAAGATGAGAACTGGCGACTTCGTAGTAAAACTTTCGATGCGGAGGACCTGGGGAGCAGAGACCCACACAGACAGGGACTCATACACACACACACATCACACACAGAGACCCAAACACTGCCTCAACTTACGCGGACACACACACAGACAGAGACTCATACACACACAGACATAGATACACACACACAGACCCACACACTGCCTCAACTCACTCGACTTAACACGTCACACTGAACACTTAACAGATAACTCACACTCTGACTTCCTACGTGATGAAAGATTCTTTCGGGCCACTCGTCGTCTAGTTGTGTTCAGACGATGTGCGCCGTCTATCAGCTTTGGCAGGTCAACATCAGACATCACTTGTTGTACCCTTTGGGGATTGTTGGGTCTAATCGCAACCATGTCCAAACAAAAGCTCCCCAAGCCTCCGTCCGACTTGCGCTGTCCAAGCCAACCCATCTCACCATCGTCCAGCTCAGTGGGTGGTGTGCCGGTGTCCAAGGTCAACGGCCTGGTGAAGCCGTCTCTCGCACGCGAGAGCTTCCGAGCCTCCGTGGGGAGCTGAGAGTGGGACCGTGGAGGTGTGGTCTGTTGGCACGTGTGTGCCAGGTTCAGACGTGCCAGGTTCATTTTCTAGGTGTCCACGAGGTTGGCGGCTGGCAGCGACGAATGGCTGGGGTCTTCTTATACACAGCTGGCGTCGTTGGGATGTTTGGACTTCTTGAAATCTGCATCAGCATTGCTAGCATGGATGCCATTTGGCGGGAAGTGAGCCTTTCCCATCCATCCAGCTCCGGTCCGCACCTCGTGTCGCTTATTCAGGTGAAGGGTGTAACCATGCATCGGTTTCAGACGTGACCGTTTGGGTGATTTCTGGGATCCAATTTTTTTTGTGTTTTTCAGAGGTGAGTACTAATTAAGTCATGCTGTAGGATCCAGACTGGCGGTTGAAATCATGGTGAACCCTTCTGAAAAACCCAAGTCGACATAAGAAATCGTGGCAGACACATCCAGTTTGACATGCAAAGTCATCCTTTGAGTGACCTCCACCAATCTCCTCAGCAAGTGCCATGTTCCACGAAAGCCTCGCTTGACGAAAAAAACCATCCCTCGCACTTCGAACGGGTTCCCCCACCGGATGGGACTAAGGTCCGACTGGAAAGGCCACAGGCGGGGGTTGTGAAAGTCATGGCCACTGGCCAGCAGGACGTGCACAGTTGACCCTGTGAGTGGAGAACCTGGAAACATCTGGAAACCTTTTGGGGGGAAATGCTTTCTCGAGAAATGAATAGGTGGGAGAAGGAATTGATTCTATGTTATTTCCACGGACATCGAGGGAGTCGGACAGTCTCTTCTGATTTGGTTTCTCTCCACATGGATGTCTCCAAGATCTCGAAGGGAATTGCAAAGTTACAGGGAGATGGTTGCCCAATGCAGCTTCCACGGGTGACCAAGAGCAGGAGACAGCGCGTTTTGACCGTTTTTTGGGTCCAGAAGACTGGACTGAAGCGTATGCAGCGTATGCCAACTCCTTTTGCCAACCCTTGGAATTGGATGACCACTAGGCGCCAGGTCCATCGACCTGGCAGAAATCAACAAATCAGCGCACCCCAGTGTCGACCAAAGAAGCGAGCTGCTGGGAAAGTGTCGCAAGCTGACTGCCACTCAGATGGTCCACGGCTTTATCATTTCGTGATCTTTACATGTCCCTTATGTGGATGAGTTCCCTTCTGGGGGAATATAATAGACTTTTCCTGGTTCCTCATGACAATCCAAGACTGGGGTCCGTTTGTTTTTTTGAATTCGTTGAACCCAACTGGGTTGGCGCTAGGGTCAACACTCGCGGCAGGGCGAGATGATCCTTATTTCACCTGAAGGCGGGTCGATCGTCTCGTCGGGTTCATGCGGGTCGACGCGGACTGTCTCGTCGCCGGGTGGTTTTCTTCTATGTCAATACCAGGACCAGAAGTACCAGAAGCCACCGATACCCATTGTCCATGTCTGGGAAGGTCTAGGTATCCCAGACACTCCATGTATGCCATATATGCCTACATTAATTGACCCCCCAAACCACCCCAACTGATCGGCATATATGGCAGTCCCATATGGAGAGTCTAGGTATTGAAGAAACGTCTATTCGGTATGGAGACGAGTGGATCACCTGCGCCTCTGACCCAGCAGGATCTGTCAGTCCACCCCGCGTTCCACCCCGCGTGCGTTCCACCCCTTCGTTCCTTCGGTCGTCTTGTTACTACTAGTAAGGCACTTGTTACTACTAGCGTGGCACTCG